ACGTGCCTCCACCAAGTGATAATTCTGAAGAGCAACGCAAAACTATCTGTTTACAAGTATATGTGTCACTCCTGACAGGATTTGTATTTTGGCATTCCGCTATACTTGCACGAGTTTACTATGAAGCTTTAAGTCCATCGTGTGCCCTCCACCACCCAGCACCCAGGAGAGGGCCCGAGTGGCATGCCCCAGGTGCCCCCAGGGGCGCTAGCCAATGCGGGCCAGACAGGGAAGCTAGCTGTCGAAGGGAACTTGGGCGAGATCTCTGCCGAGAAGAGAGATGGGAACAGGGTAACAGTGCCAGAGATCATGTACTTTGGAGAAGTCCTCTTGTTATTAAGTACGTCAAGTTTCTACACAGATAGAATTATCTGTGGCAAGCTATAGTGTCTTGATGCTGGCACAGTGGGGGCACCGTATGGGGAGCTATTTCAAGTCACAACCCACCCCACCCTAAGAGTGGGATTCTTAGTGGGCAGGCAAGGTAAAAGCAACACCCATGAATGCGCGTTAGGGGGTGGGGTGGCTGCCTTGCCGATCTCTGTCCCTAATGGGGAGGGGAGGTGTCAGGGGTTCAGCATGGGCTTTCTCGTTCTCAAGGGATCGGGCTGGACTTTGGAGGCATGAAGGAGGCAGAGAACAGAAGAAGATTCCCCCTGAAATAATGGAAGTCTATTGGCCATATGAAATAGTGATACAGGTGTATTGTCCGGTTATACTGAAACTGAGTGCTGTATTCAGCTATAAGTATCCCTGTAGTAGAACCTGTCCTCCTGCCTCCCCAGTGCACATGCGTACCCCTTTCTTCTGGTGACACCACGTCAACTGTCCTTTGGGTAGGAGACCTAAGTCAGCCCAATGACAGTAAGCCAGGCACAGGCCCAGGTAACCACTGGAAAAGGCGCCCACCTTGTCCGGGGTCCTCACCCGGGTGGGATGCACACCCAGAGCTGGTGGCAGTCATTTGGCCGGGGAGACAGTCACAGAATGGTGCCAGCACAGAACAAAGCAGAGGTGACAGTTGAAGTGACCTAGCTTCTGCTCTCACTGTTTGAACACCTGTGCAGCGATCTCTGAAATGGCGTTATAATTTTTTTTTGAAATATTTTTCTCTTTTTTAAGATTTTACTTATTTATTTTTAGAAAGGGAAGGGATGGAGAGAGAGTGAGAGAGTGAGAGAGAGAGAGAGAGAGAGAGAGAGAGAGAGAGAGAGGGAGAGAGGGAGAGAGAGAGAGGGAGAGAGGGAGAGAGGGGGAGAAACATCAATGTGCGGTTGCCGGGGTCCGTGGCCTGCAACCCAGGCATGTGCCCTGACTGGGAATCGAACCTGCGATGCTTTGGTTCGCAGCCTGTGCTCAATCCACTGAGCTACGCCAGCTAGGGTGCTTTTTTTTCTAAAGCTTAGTACCATTTGAGTGGAGTGCCTATCATGTATACTGGAGAGTCTTTCCTGGTAAGAATAATAGACAGATCCTTCGAGAACAGAAAGGATTTTCTTATTGGGGTGAAGGGAACGTGCCTCAGTCCCCATGGCCCAGTAGAAGGGGACCCAAGGAGCTAACCCGTGAGGCAGTGCAGGGTCGCTGCCCTAAAGCCCCCCCCCCCACCCCAGATCACAGAGCATTTAATAGTGACTGGTTCCCAGCTCGTCCCCTGCCTTCTCTTGGCGCTTGGCGGCTTCTCCATCGGGTGAGTTCTGGGGTCCGAACCGGAAACGGCTCAGTCTAGGGGGAGGCTGGCTTTGAGGGTGAAGAGGGGGTTGGAGAGGACATATTGATAAGCCACGTCTGGGCATGTACTGCCGGTCATTTGCTCTGAAAGCTTTCTCAGCAACCACAGGCGATCTCGTAGCTGCACCCAACATGTCTCCATGCGCCTTGGGAGACGGTACCCACAACTCTCCGGTCCGCTGACTGTTCCTGTCCTCCACGGTGGGATCTAGAAATCTAAGCCCCCACTGGGCTCCCCGCACTGCCTGCCTTGTCCATGCAATCAGCTTCAGCAGCCTCCGACACCTGACGGACAGAGCGGGGGGCACCTTGCTGGCCCCATACAGCGTGGGGACCTTGGTCAGGGCCTTCATTGTGCGTCCAAGCTTGCCCTTAGTTCTGCAAAACCACTGCCCCTCTGTGCACAACCGCTGTTCATTTGACCCTTTACAAACAGCAACGCCCAGCTCCCCAGGAGGCTCACGTCGTAGGACGGTGGGGGTGTGAAGACAGTGGCTACAGTCTGGTTCTTCCGGTCTGCTTTATTGTGCCTCCTAGCACTCGGGGAGAATTCTCTTGTGAGGTCGCTTCTCCTTGAGCATTTCAGAGAGGAAAAGGGGAGGTGGGACTCCACAGGCAAAGTGGGGTGTCCAGCCACTGAGAGCTGGACATGGAAGACCTGTATGTAGGCTTAGACAGCGGACATGGGGGCACCAGACTTGGTAAAGGAAAACACGCTTTACAGGGCGAGCAAAATGCTTGCTGTGAGGACCCATATTTAACTACTTCTCCGAATGTAGCTGTTCTTACCAATATTTTTTAAAATCTATCTTATGCAGTTCTGGAAAGGGTAAGCAACCTTCTTTGTCCTTTTCTTTGTCTTTTTACAAAGACTGTGTTCTACGAAGTAGCTCAGGCTGGACTAGCAGCTCTTTACGCGGTGTGTTTAATTTCTGACGGGGCCAAACCAACCTCTCCACCCTCTCTTCCTCCTCAGTCACTGAACGTGTTAAATCACGTTCCTTCACTGCTTTACGGCTCACCCACCATTCGGACACCAAACTGAATTTAGACAATGGATCTACACATCGTACAGTTCACCGTCTGCCATGGGATTTCAGGTATTGCTCTTATTTGAAAATATTCTCTTTGGTCGCCTTCACGTCATGACCCTGCTGTCCTCCACTGCCAGAGGTGCGTCTTGACCGGGGCTGTGATGGGAGAACATCGTCTCCGTACCCACAGCCCAGCTGTGGTCCCCCAAAGCCCTTGAGCTCGGGTGACGAGGCACCCAGTTTACAGTCTCCAAGGAGGCACTGAGATCCCTTCTCAGAAGATCAACGAAATTGGGCTTGGGACGGGAATACAAATGATATGAAATAAGCAGAGACACCGCAGGAAGTCTTCCATCAGCTGGGGCTCCCCCAGGAGGGGAAGCCTGGAGACAGCCAGTTCCGTGCTAATGAGAGTAAACAAAGGGGGAAAGAGGCCAATTCACAGCTGATAAATTTTGAGGAAAGGGAAAAACCGCCTTTGCCGATCACAATACCGAAGAGTTGATTAGCCCATAAATTACTCCTCAGCGTCTCTGCAGACGTGGCCCTGCAGCTGGCTTCCCTCTGAGAGCCCGTGACCTACCGAGTGCAATTCCCTTCTGGAAGACAAACTCTGAAATATCTGCCCGGGGAGGAAGAACAGCAACAGAAAACAATGGGACAGGGGCTTTGGGGGACACCGGCCAGGAAAGCTGCCATCTGGGCTGTGGCTCCGAGAGGACTAACGCCACCACTCCCACCAAGTGCGGTTAAGAGGAGGCGGGGGTGACAGGGTCTCCCTGGACGGGAGAAGCTGCGGGGGCGAGGACCTCCTCGATCTGTCGGGAGCAGAAAGCGAAGGAGGCCTCAGCTCAGCACTTGAGACTCCTTTTTCTTGACGGTCCGGGTGGAAAGGAAACGTGAAAACAGTGCACAGTCTGCTCAGAACTAGAGGGGGGGATTGCGGCTTCTTGTCAGGACGACGAGACACAACTAACATGCGGTTTGAGAATGACCGTGGGCTCAGGCTGCGTGTGTGCATGCACGTGTCTGCATGTGTTCCCACACACGTGCATCATGTATGCGTGTGCGCACACATGTGCACAGGGGTGCGTGTGCTGGGGTACCAGGAAAGCTCGGGGGCTGGTTTTGGCCACTCTGCCTCCTGCAGACCAGGAGCCCAGCCCGCTCTGTACGGAGGAGAAGGCTGGCGCATCTTCTCTGACCACTTTGTCTCAACTGCAATGAGTCAAATGAGCACTTTTGAAAGCAAAAGACAGAAAATCGAATAATCATGGCTGCTGCATACAACATACCCTGTGCCTGGCAACAGGCTACATAGCAAAGACCTACGTGCTCTCCCTTAATCCTTCCAAAACCCCTTTTATTCCCGTTGCCCAAGTGAAGCGGTTGGAGCTGAGAGATCAGAATCTCGCGTGAGGTCACGTAAGCACTAGGAGCTGGAGTGAAGATCTGACTCCAAAACCTGCCCCCTTGACGGACGCTCTATCTACCGCCCACGTGGACGGTCCCAGAGGGCAGACGACACATGAGGGAGGGGGCGGGGCACGCACCGCCACCCGCAGTGGCCCCGGACGCCCAGCTGGGGACCGAAGCCTTCCTAACACTCAGTCCTGCAGGCAGGCCACACCACCAGCCCAAAGGGCATCTACAATGGTTCTCTGGTCTCCGAACCTCAGCGACCGCAGCTGGGGGCGTGTCCACGGGGCGCAGGCAACACTTCCTAACCCGGGGCTTCCTCTGGGTGGAGTGTTGGAATCCCTTCCTCGGGGCGTAAGGCTGAGGGTGGGGAGAACGTGGAAGCGCGGCTCCCAGGGGCCCACTGTCCGCCACTGCCTCCCGTGGGCTCCCGGGCCCGTCCACGGAAGAGGCGGGAAGACGCCTGGCATCTGTCGGGCTGCTGAGTCGTTCCACGACTGCTTTGGAGCTCCCAGTTCTCAGGGCCTCCACATTGCGGGGAGGACAACTGCCGCCGGAAGTTAGGAAAAGGGATGGGGAACAAGGCGCTTCCCCCAGCAGCCTGGTTGCCCTGCCTCTTCCCCAGACGGCGACAGTCTCGGGGACCACAGGGGTCGCACGCAACCCCTCTATCAGCACGCACACACTTTTCAACCAGTCCCATCAGGTGCGGCTCTGAGCTCTGGGGCGGGAGGCGACAGAGAATGAAGTCCTGGCTGCACTGTGGACACCTGCGCCCTGGCCCGCCATTGCTTCTCCCCGCCCGGCACGTCCTACCTCCTTCGTTGTCCTTGCTGTCCGTGCACAGGGTCTCCATGGCCACGTCGCAGCCCGCTCCTCTCCACCCCGGCTGGCAGACGCAGTGCCAGCCGTTCTGGTCCAGCGTGCACCTGCCGTTGCTGTTGCACAGACCCGGGCAGCCCTCTGTCAAAAGACACAAGGAGAAAAAAAAAAAAACACAGGGGATTTGAGTGCCGGATGTTTTCGCACCTCCGATGAACAGATAAGGGACACTGAGTGGGAACAGGCCTTTGTAAACAGCACAAATACTGTAATTGCACATGTACAGGACCAGCAACATTATCTAAGGAATCTAATTCTTATCCAAGTGGCATCTTTGATTGGCCTGACCCTTGAGACACCACTTACCTGGGCAGGACAGAAATATATGCAACAACCCACTAAATAGCTGCGGGCCAGACAAAATTAACTTAAGGTTTTTTTTTTTTTCCCTTCAGCAAAGCAACGAGGTCAATTGGTTGATGGCACGGTGTGAAACAGCATCTCCATGCGGTAATTTCAGAATCCCTGGTATGGATTTTTAATCTGCGGTCAACATTACTGGTCACTCGTTGGGACATGCCCTTCTTAGAGCACCTCGTTGCTTTAACAAATTCCCTCTAAATTCAAAAGCATGGAAGTGGGGGGTGAGGCTATGCGTGACGTTCCAAAGAGACCATTAATTTTATCTGGCCCCAGAGTTGCCGTGCAGTCATGTGAAATTACAGTGCATTAAATCATTGCACAAAGTATAGGCCAGTATTGATGACTATACTTTATGCCGGGAGTACATTCCTTGTCACAGAAGAAGCAAAGCCTGGGAAATCGTGAAGCAGCTTAGCGTCTATTCTAACAAACACCGGGGTTCAGGCTGCATACGGATGGGACAGGACCGACAGGATTTCCAACTGAATGTGGCAGCTGTGCATATTTGGTTACTTAGGACGGACAAAATGAAATACCAGAAGGACCACAATAAAACATTGATAGACTGAACAAAAACACGGTAGTGACGTGCTTCAAGACAGAGAGCGAGAAGTGATATTTGGTGACAATCTCCCTAAGGCTTTTAGGCTGTTACCTTTATATCCTATCTTGTCTGCTTTTATGGGCAAGAAGGGAAAATTTGGGAAACAATTAAAATAATTTAATAGACCCAAAATCTATAATTGTTTCAGTCTAACATGACATTTAAAGAAAACAGTTTTTTTTTGCATCTTTCTAATGATGATATCTGGCATGCGGCCGACATGACCTGTGTATGAGGATGACACTTGGGGAGCTTCTGGTGGCCGTGTCCATGAGTTTGGTATGACACTGACAGACACAAGGACGGCAATGCTCTAACGCGGTGAGAAGCACTGGTTAGAAACCAGGTCTGTTTGGACAGAACTGTTTATAATTTGGTATACAATACGTATTAGTAAAAATACTCGCTACAGCAATCAGGGCTTGTGAGACAGCTTCTCAGAACTGGAATGCTCTTCTCGTTTTGGGGACAAAATTTAAGGGGACAATCTGCTTAAAGATGTTTATTTTAAGTCTGTGTTAAGAGAAGTACTCGTACATTGGCTTCCCCTCCTCCACAGCGAAGCTTGCGAGTATCGCCAAGAGACATCCTGTCTCTTAAGATTAGAGTTAACAGAAAGAAGAAATTTTTGACAGTCTCTTGAGGCAGGGTATAATAAAATTATACTTATGGATACCATCAGGTCAAGATGAGATTAATTTTGCTGCTTCCTTTCTTTCAGACAATTACTGTCTGCATTTCTCGATGATTTAATGCGTAAAAGGTGAATTTTCTTTACGGACGTTTTTGTTTTGTCTTTCACGGAAAAGATCCAACTGCCCCTCTGTGAAGCAGCTGACTGCGTGTACACAGAGTTCTTGTATAAAAAAAGCCTGGATATTGCCATGAATATTTGCATATTCTAATGAAAAACACGAACAAGGAATAGAAAATAGGTAATCTGAGGAGAAAGGGAAAGGGAATTTTGGGGAAAAATATTTTTCACCTATTTCTACGATAACTGAAGACAGGAGAATCTGCTGTTTTCTGCTGAGCAGTGTAACTGTGTGCTTTATAGAAGGCACACTATCTCTGCAGTTTTTAGAAAATAACGAAACAGATTATGATATCACATGGATTTTGAAACATTGAGAGGAAGTCAAAGAAGTTTTCTTATGAAGATCAATGAGATTTCTCTCAACATACGTTAACCAAAATATTGTTTTGATTGGCAATTTCTTATTCTGCAGTGTGAGAGTGAGCAATTGCGATTCTTTACTTTAGAGTGTAACGCTCAGTAGAGGAATTGCCAACAACGAAGATCTTAAAACAGAAATGGAAAATAATAAATACATAAACAAAAAACAGCAAATGTACTGTTATCTTCAGTTTGGGGGTTCCAGTGAAGCCCTTCACATAGGAATGAAATCTGGGGTAACCGAAAATTATAAAAATGAGACACAGACATTTAAGTCTTGATAATTTAAATCCAAGGCATTTCCTGACTTACATAATTTACAGAAATATGCATGAAAAACAGTCTATTTTCACCCCTAATGCAATCGGATACACAGTTATATAATATATATATGTAGACGTGCCGACAAAGAGCAAGTATACAGTACCTTTAACTATCTTATCCAAATAGTGAGCTTGAGAAATTAAAGAGGAAAAAAAAGAACAGACAGACATTTCAGCAGTGTCACAGGGGACAAGGAAATTTTCAGAATTCACATGCAAACCGAGTGGCTGCGGCTGACGTAAGACTCACAGAACACGACAGAGGGGCACTTCCGAGCTTCCAAAAATGCAACACGTTCACGGTGTAGCGAACGTGGCCGTGACTCCAGGAAACACTCCACATTTTCAAGAAACGCATGCAGGCCCACTAGCGCCACCTTCCCCGGGGTTTTTTAGAGTAACCCCCACCAGGTACCTGACCTGCCAGGGAATGGTGGAAATTCACAGCTGTGAGAGCTACCAATAATCAAACTGTGATTTTGGGGGGGCGGTGAGAAAAAAACTCAGTGTTTGGAAAGTTTGTTTTTCACAGAACAGTTTCATCGGGGCTCCATCGGGGAAGGACAGAGGATGCCACGAGGGCCCGGAGCAGCCATTTCTGGGGGCTCTGATGCTGTCTTTCCTCGACCTGGGACACAGGGTCCTGCTCGTGCACCGGCCCTTCTGGGTTACTTGCACATTTACAAACCGTGCAACTATCACGGTTCATAAATAAGCAAGAAAAAGAAATTGAGAACCCTTGAGCAGGTGGAGCACATTTAACGTATTATTGAAAAAGGCCAGTTCGGTAGACAAGGGTGAATTCAGGGGCCTTGTACTCTGTGTCAGGGGCTCAGTGGTGGGTCCCACGGACCGTCCACCGGGAAGTACGGGCTGTTCTGAGACCCTGTATGTTTTCAGGGTTCGTTCGGCAATGGGCTCGTTTCCGACAAAAGCGTGGCGGGAACGGTCAGGATGAAGACCGAGTCTCTGACTGTCCCTGTTCCTTTACTCCTTCACGAGGCCACGGTGAGGCCACCCCTTCCCTCCCAAACAGAGGCACGAACACCTCTCTCCTTTCCACGTGGAGATCTAACATGTTCCTAATAAGCCTCACATCTTCCGGCTTTGTCAAAACTCATGCATCTTTAATGATCTAAAATTGCTTTTCAGAGATGCTGCTGTTGATCAGTGTTCCTTCCTGACACATGCCCGTGGCAGCCGCCCTCTGCGCGGAACGATTTAAGCTGGAACTTTCAGCGGGGCCGCTCGAGGCTGGCAGCTCCACCGCTTGTGCAAACGAGGCCGTAAGTGGTTCTGACACATCTGTACTGTGTGCACAAGAGGACCCTTCACTTGGCCACAGGACTCCATTAGCGGCTTTGGGGCTGCATTTAAAAATGAGTGTGTTTATAGCTAATCGACACTGTGTTGCAGGGGGGTTCAGGTGAGGAGGAAACTGCGGTGGGTACTCCTCTGAAATTATAATTTACTACAAATGAGTCCGTGTTCAGACAGTAAAATAAAAATGGACTATTGAATAACATCATCCATAGGATTTCTTAATAATTCATGCTAAACCTTATATAATCTAGTAGAGCCTCTTAATAATGTCTAAAAAATTCTGACTTAGATAGGGTAGTATTTCTGAGGGGGTTCTTAGTTTATAAAAACGAGTAACACTGATCGGAGGTGGGGAGTGAGCCTTTGGCTTTCAGACCAGGCCTGCTTCAGCTCAAACAACCAACATGAGGAATGTGATTAATTCTGACCTGGATTAGTAGATGTGAAGGAGGAATAAACTATTTCTAATCTAGCTTCTCCCATTATGTTAGCAAACAGAATCGATTACGCAACACAGATCGAAAAACAGTGGTAAAGGTAAGTTTGTCACTGAGTCAAGAGAACACTGAAAGTGAAGCTGAAATTAGAAAATACATTTAAAATACACAGGTTAAAATTACACAACACTTTAAATGTTAAAAATAATTAACAAAAGTTTCGCAAGAAGTTAAAAACCAATCATAAGAAAAATATACATATGTACTGAAAAAAAGGATACCAAGGTTTGTCATTTGCAATTTTATGTTACAGGAACTAATTACGAGGCTGATAGTTTAAAACTAAGATAGAAAGAGGGAAAAACAACCGTGTGAGGGCATCCAACCCAGGATGGCTAGGAATGTGGCCCGACACCCAATTGTAAATTTACTTAAAACCATTTCTTGCTCATCGGTTCTTGTTAGTGTTTGTATATTTAATGTGTCACCCAAGACAACTCTTCTTCTTCCTCTGTGGCCCAGAGACGCCAAAAGGCTGGGCCAGCTCTGGGGCTCTCCATCTTGGCTTTGAGAGTAAAATTTCTCACAGAATCACAAAAGCCCGGTCCTACATAATAACGAAGTCAAAGGAGGATGTCAACATATGAGGTTCAAATAATAGTTGCGGCCAAAGAAGTCATTTTTTAAGCCCCTGCAGTAAATCATTGGACAAACGCAGGCATGTTGGAAGAAGCCAATGGGAGCAATAATCATAAAGATAATAAAGCATATTTAAAAATTAATATGCCTAACGAATGCTAAAATGCACATTAAATTGCAAAAAAAAATTAACTGACACCGAAGGAGAACCATTC